ACACAACCCTGCAAACCTAAGAGACACAATCCTGCACACCTAGGACACAACCCTGCACACCTAGGACACAACCCTGCAAACCTAAGAGACACAACCCTGTTCACCTTGGAGACACAATCCTGCACACCTAGGGGACACAATCCTGCACACCTAGGACACAACCCTGCACACCTAGGACACAACCCTGCAAACCTAAGAGACACAACCCTGGACACCTAGGAGACACAATCCTGCACACCTAGGAGACACAATCCTGCACACCTTGAAAACACAACCCTGCACACCCAAGAGGCACAACCCTGCACACCTAGGAGACACAATCCTGCACACCTAGGAGACACAACTCTGCACACCTAGGAGACATAACCCTGCACACCTAGGAGACACAACCCTGCACACCTAGGAGACACAATCCAGCACACCTAGGAGACACAACCCTGCACACCTAGGAGACACAACCCTGCACATCTAGGAGACACAATCCTGCACACCTAGGAGACACAATCTGCACACCTAGGAGACACAACCCTGCACACCTGGGAGACACAACCCTGTACACCTTGGAGACACAACCCTGCACGCCTAGGAGACACAATCCTGCACACCTAGGAGACACAACCCTGCACATCTAGGAGACACAACCCTGCACGCCTAGGAGACACAACCCTGCAGACCTAGGAGACACAACCCTGCAGACCTAGGAGACACAACCCTGCACACCTAAGAGACACAACCCTGCAGACCTAAGAGACACAATCCTGCATGCCTAAGAGACACAACCCTGCAGACCTAAGAGACACGACCCTGCACGCCTAAGAGACACAACCCTGCATGCCGAAGAGACTCAACCCTACACACCTAAGAGACACAACCCTGCAGACCTAAGAGACACAACCTTGCACAGCAAACTGAGACACAGATTAGATGACTTTGTACTGTACTTTGGAGAGTTCCTCACAATTGAAATATGTTATGTAACACGACTCGGTCATGCAACAGTATAAAAACAAAGAAATTGATTCCACAATTGAGTCTGGCCATAAGGACATTTTGACGGACCTCTGCCTCAGAAACAAATCTGAACTAAAATAACCCAAAATAACCTCAGCCAAAGACATGAATCCCACTGAGGATAAAACAACAGAAGCACAGTACAGAACCTGCATTCATCTGTAAACAAGACGGCAAAATGGCCACTTGTGCCTGTAGTCTGAGACCAAGACGTCCCACACACACTGGCCATAACGAAGATGTTGGCATACCCAGGTGATCCAGGCCACTGACATGGGGGACACCTTTCTAAACAAGATGTGGGGATGTTTGGGCAGATGAGTTGCACATTGTTACCTCAACCACTGCTCCAGCATCCTCCCCCCCTCGTCTGTATCCTCACCCACAAAACCATGTGATAGATGTGGTTTTTTCTCTGTGGTCAGCAGAGGTGTAACAATGTACCTCGGCAATCTATGGTCCAAAGGTAGAATATTGATGAAAAGATAAAAACCTATAGCTGACATCAATACCCTGCTGGATTTGGAGAGTTTCAAAAGAAAACTGTATACTGACAAAAAACCCAACTTTTTTCTATAGTTTCAATTCAAAATTCAAAATGTATCTTTCTTCAAGTATTTTCAAGTATCATACTAATCCAGCAAATGCAGTGGTAGAAACTAACAGTTTTCGTCCACAAGTCCCTATAATGATAACATATAGCAAAACCCTTAAAAATGACAAATTTCTGCTAGTCCTTAGGAAACCTTAACTATTGGGCAGTTTGGCAAGGAGTATAATTTATAATAGTGCCAATTTCTAACTTTGAAATGTTGCCCATTTCCAAAATAAATCTTGATACGACTGCAAAAAACACACACTGATAAAAACACCTGTAGTACGTATGTTAGAGCATAACCATGACAACTGTAAGATTTTGACCCCGCCTCCCTCACTACTGAACATCCATCTCACATCCTTCGCTTGTCCCCATGTTCTTACAGATAAGGAAAATAGCCATGTCCATCAACAACCATCACTATGTGATGATATAGACACTGTGTGTAATCAAACACTGACGGCTTCACAGCAATCACATGCTCATATTCATTGCCAACCTTCACTATGTGATGATATAGACACTGTGTGTAATCAAACACTGACGGCTTCACAGCAATCACATGCTCATATTCATTGCCAACCTTCACTATGTGATGATATAGACACTGTGTGAAACCAAACACTGACGGCTTCACAGCAATCACATGCTCATATTCATTGCCAACCTTCACTATGTGATGATATAAACATTGTGTGTAACCAAACACTGACGGCTTCACAGCAATCACATGCTCATATTCATTGCCAACCTTCACTATGTGATGATATAAACACTGTGTGTAACCAAACACTGACGGCTTCACAGCAATCACATGCTCATATTCATTGCCAACCTTCACTATGTGATGATATAGACACTGTGTGAAACCAAACACTGAAGGCTTCACAGCAATCACATGCTCATATTCATTGCCAACCTTCACTATGTGATGATATAGACACTGTGTGAAACCAAACACTGACGGCTTCACAGCAATCACATGCTCATATTCATTGCCAACCTTCACTATGTGATGATATAAACACTGTGTGTAACCAAACACTGACGGCTTCACAGCAATCACATGCTCATATTCATTGCCAACCTTCACTATGTGATGATATAAACACTGTGTGTAACCAAACACTGACGGCTTCACAGCAATCACATGCTCATATTCATTGCCAACCTTCACTATGTGATGATATAAACATTGTGTGTAATCAAACACTGACGGCTTCACAGCAATCACATGCTCATATTCATTGCCAACCTTCACTATGTGATGATATAGACACTGTGTGAAACCAAACACTGACGGCTTCACAGCAATCACATGCTCATATTCATTGCCAACCTTCACTATGTGATGATATAAACATTGTGTGTAACCAAACACTGACGGCTTCACAGCAATCACATGCTCATATTCATTGCCAACCTTCACTATGTGATGATATAAACACTGTGTGTAACCAAACACTGACGGCTTCACAGCAATCACATGCTCATATTCATTGCCAACCTTCACTATGTGATGATATAGACACTGTGTGAAACCAAACACTGACGGCTTCACAGCAATCACATGCTCATATTCATTGCCAACCTTCACTATGTGATGATATAAACACTGTGTGTAACCAAACACTGACGGCTTCACAGCAATCACATGCTCATATTCATTGCCAACCTTCACTATGTGATGATATAAACACTGTGTGTAACCAAACACTGACGGCTTCACAGCAATCACATGCTCATATTCATTGCCAACCTTCACTATGTGATGATATAAACATTGTGTGTAACCAAACACTGACGGCTTCACAGCAATCACATGCTCATATTCATTGCCAACCTTCACTATGTGATGATATAAACATTGTGTGTAACCAAACACTGACGGCTTCACAGCAATCACATGCTCATATTCATTGCCAACCTTCACTATGTGATGATATAAACATTGTGTGTAACCAAACACTGACGGCTTCACAGCAATCACATGCTCATATTCATTGCCAACCTTCACTATGTGATGATATAAACACTGTGTGTAACCAAACACTGAAGGCTTCACAGCAATCACATGCTCATATTCATTGCCAACCTTCACTATGTGATGATATAGACACTGTGTGAAACCAAACACTGACGGCTTCACAGCAATCACATGCTCATATTCATTGCCAACCTTCACTATGTGATGATATAAACACTATGTGAAACCAAACACTGACGGCTTCACAGCAATCACATGCTCATATTCAATGCCAACCTTTGCTTCGAAACACTTCATATAAAACAAATAATACTAAAAATAAAATGTCTCACATATCATATTTGTTAACATTTTGGTTCCAAATCTCATAATCATGGTAATTAATGTATAGTGACCTTGTTTTTAAACTTTGTTTTCAACCATTTTGGAAGATCAAGGGTCGTTTCTCTACCTCAAAATATGATCCAAGCTCCATCCATTAATTCCCAAAGTTTTCCCTGCAATCTTAAAGTACTTAAAGGGGCACCCCTTTGTGCCCTAACCATTCCACGGTGCCAAATCACTACAGAGGTCATCAATTCAATAGTTTAAGTAAAATGAAGTACCTGTGTTTTGTAGTGAATGGGGCAAGATTTAAATTTGTTGAGAAATATTTCATGTGTATTAAGTCCATATTGCATGTGTATTAAGTCCATATTGCATCTGTATTAAGTCCATATTGCATCTGTATTAAGTCCATATTGCATCTGTATTAAGTCCATATTGCATCTGTATTAAGTCCATATTGCATCTGTATCAAGTCCATATTGCATCTGTATCAAGTCCATATTGCATCTGTACCAAGTCCATATTGCATCTGTATTAAGTCCATATTGCATCTGTATTAAGTCCATATTGCATCTGTATTAAGTCACGCTGGAAATTTACTCTTCCATGATGCCACTGAGATGCAATGTTATGGATGAACTCAATACCAATAAGTTCAATATTTCAAGGGTGATTTCATCACAGTGATTATTAATGTCATTAATGCTTACAAACACAGACCAACGGTTGTTCAAGAAGACGAAATTAATCAGAAGAAATTTTTAAGTGTTTTGCTATATGTTATCATTATAAGGACAAGTAGACTAAAATTGTTAGTTTCTAACTCTGATATTCTCTATGTCAGCAAACATTGGTTAATAAACAACATAGTGTTAGAGTTTGAATATTTCTATAGCATCAAGAGAGAGTGAATATTTAATTGCTTAGCTTTAGTTTGGTAACATTGATAATTTTCTAACACAGCACTATAAGACCACCTAGGCTAGACCACAAACAAATGGCAGCTAGGTCAATGAAATCCAGAACAGAGCATTTTGACCCCCTCCTGTGGAGCCTCATTTCATTGAAGATGTAGAAGTGAGCTCTGAGATGTGGGAGGAGGGAACGGGATTCTGAGTGGCCGGGCAGCTGGCGATACAGGTGAGGGAGCTAGTTCTCGTATCACATAGCGTGATACACACCTGTATCACATGGCATCTCCTACCCTGCAACACTACAGCCATATCACCTTGTGCTAACTTCCACTAACTTCCACACCTTCCAATACTGGAATTATCAGGGATTTCCCCAACCTGTTGGAATATTTCCAAAATGGCATTCAAAAGAGTTGTATATTTTGTGATATTCACAGTTTTTGTGATTGGTAAATCTGCCGCTGAGGAGTCAGAGGACTGTGACAAGAAGCATGATGTGAAGGAACCCAACTGGCCATTCCAGATGAAGGCTGGTCAGAACGTGAACTACATGCCCGTCATGCCCATGGCCATGCCAGTGATGCAGGGACAGAAGGGTGAACCCGGCGTCTGTGACAGCAGTCAGTGTAAATGTGACTGCAGCAACATCGTCGACCAAGCAACTTCCAGACACGAACGCAGAGCTTTACGAGCTTCTCAGGACGTACCCTATAGACGTAATCAACCGAGTAACTACCAACAGTATCGGGGTTCAGGTCCACAAAATGTTCAAATGCATGGAGTAAAGGGTGAGAAGGGGTCGAGGGGGGAGATGGGTTCGAGGGGGGAGATGGGTGTTCCGGGGCTGCCGGGCGCCAGAGGACCCCCTGGCGCCATGGGTCAGAAGGGAGAACCGGGAAGATCTGCATCAAGGGGGTCATCTCGCAGCGCCCCTGGGATGCAGGGCCCACCGGGAATACGAGGGTTCCCAGGTCCTGTTGGGTCTCGGGGACCTGCTGGTGTCGCAGGGAAACCGGGACGTCCGGGATCTTTGGGTATTCCTGGTCAGAAAGGTGAACCTGGCAAGACAGGATTGCAAGGAGCAGACGGCCTTCCGGGCCGGAACGGAGATCGGGGAGCGCCTGGCGTGCCAGGAGTGCCAGGATTGACAGGTATGATGCTTGCTGTGTATTTAGAGATCCACTGTTTTTTCTGGGAGGGGTCTGTGATTTGTGTTTTTAATTTATTCTTACAAAAACGAATCTTCTATACTGCTTTCACGAAAAGCAATATTCACTGAACATTTTTGAAAAAATTATTGTTTGGCTCCTTTCTGAGATAAAAATTGTATGTCTTGAAGAAGTGATAAAAAAACTTTCTTTGCCTTACAAATACCCCAGGCTCCCAACAGAATGTAAAATGGTCCATCTCGTAGTATATATACTACTCAAAAGAAGTTAAGGATCACCTGATTCTTTCATATTACTATAGTTAATCTCTCATATCATGACAGATTAACTTTACCATTATGAAAGAATTGGGTGATCCTTAACTTCTTTTGAGTAGTATATATGTTTATGTTACAGTGTAGTGAGATTCAGCAATAGCATGTATTCTGTGATGAAATACTATTCATCTGAAAACATATTATCCATATTTCATTTGAGTCAAATAACACTTTATGTCTGAGCAGTAAGTCTGCCTCGATGGCATTATGGTGGCCTGATTAGTATCATAAAGATCACGAAGAACATACAGAGAAAATAGTACGTGGAATCTCAGGAACTTAACTAAATATTTGACATTTTCAGAACACACAAGAAAATATTTTCTGTCACCCAGTGTGACAACATGTAACAAGATCCTAATGCCCCCAGTGTAACTCAACACATAGACGTGTCGGGGAGTAAGTGTAACTCAACACATAGACGTGTCGGGCGTAATGTTCCATCTAACAATCAAGGTGAGGTGAGGTGAAATCGGGTTTAACGTCGCGTCCAAGATTATTGCACCTATATAGCGATGTGCATGTACGTGTGTGTGTTTGTGTGGCTGCTTGTACTAGTCCAGACTGATGCCGATTTATAGTGCTAGCTCACTGAGATACCATGCCACAGTTTAACATGAATACCCCACTCAGACACAGTATACTGACTCCGAGCCGACCAGTCCTTGTTTTAGCCCCTTAATGCCGAGCGCCAGACAGGGTAACAACAAGTACCATCTTTTAACGTCTTTTGGTATGACGCGGCCGGGGATCGAACCCCGGACCTTCCGCTCTCCGGGCGGACGCTCTACCACTAGACCACGGAGGCGGTCTCTAACAATCAAGGCAGTTCATCATTCATTCTGGTCATGCATCAATGACAAGTCAAACTACCAATAGCGGGCATTCTACCATGAATATTGTTTGCACACATATGATAACATTTATAAAACATTTTGGGACGTTTGGTAATTTTCTCAACGAAACAAATGACAATTAAAGTAAAATAAAACATTTGAAAAATGTGAAAACAGTTATTCGTGACAGTATATTGTTAACATACATTCTTGCATGACAGCTCAAAATACCAGTAGACATTGTTACCCAGCTTTGGAAATTTGTTTTTCTGAGGCTAGTCCAGAGACTTTTATCAGAATGTTAGGCTATATCATTACTGTAGTGGAAGCTGTTTCTAACTGTAAGCATGTTTATTTGTTGTTGAACGCCACACTCAGCAATATTCCAGCTATATGACAGCAGTCTGTAAATAATCAAGTCTGGACAAGACAATCCAGTGACTGACATCATGAGCATCGATCCCTGCAATTGGGATACGATGACATGCATCAACCAAGTCACTGAGCCTGACCACCCGATCCCGTTAGTCGCCTCTTACGACAAGCATAGTTTCCTCTTACAGCAAGTGAGTGAGTGAGTGAGTTGGGTTTAACACCAAAACATTATTCCACTTATATCACGGTGTTCTTACAGCGAGCAGAAAATAATCAGTGACTTATATTAGGAGCTAAATATCATAAACATAAAGTACAGTTATATTTTTTATTTGAATATTAAAAATTAAATTTCTAATTCAGTTTGTCATAATTTCTTGGCTTTAATAATTTCTTAATTATGCAAATAGCTAGTGTCATAATCAACCGTTCTTCCACCGTCCCTGTTTTAAGTGAAATACGGTAGGTCAGTTGTTGGGGCCACAATGGAACAATGGTTAGTAAGCCATGAAGGATACCGGTATTATGTATGTGTTTGACGATCTTAGAAGTCTTTTGTGTAGATGTCAAGAAATTATTTTTGGTTTGTGTGCCCACATTTTTCTTCCTATTCAAGTTGGGGAAATTTAAGTTTAGTGTTCTCCAGATGTTCTAGTACAATTAAAGCGGGATCACGCTTCACTGATGTATTGTATAAGTTGTATTATTTCAAATGAAGTGACCGTAGTCATCACAGTGAACCCCAAAGAGTAGATCAAACAAGACACAGTGGCATGACTGGTAAACCTGATCAGCCATTGTCTCGCACCACGGCTGGGGTTACCGTCCGACAATATGCCTGACACATGCGAGACATGGCTTCCATAACAGTCACGTTCTACTGATCTTTTCATGTTTAACCTTTGCGTTTATTGTTCTGATTATCATATTAGGGACATGAAAAGGTTAAAGCTTTGATATTAGTTTATAAGGTTCCAGGGTACATGCTGGTCAATCAAATCTTAAAGTGTACCATCTTGTACACTTGTGTGGTATCAAGCCTCCGGACCGAGACAACTAAATTGTGCTGAGGACACGTACAGATCCAGTGACGGTAGTCCTCATTGACTGGTAACATTTGAGGGCTATAATTCTGAACCAGTTCTCTATGCTACAACACAGGAAACATTTTGTCTTCTTCAAGCAGCACTAGGTATTTGCTTCAAAATTCTCAATGCTTCAAAAATGGAACTGAATAAAACGGACATAATTTAAACACAGTAAACATTTCGTCTTCTTCAAGCAGCACTAGTTATATGCTTCAAAAATGGAACTGAATAAAACAAACATAATTTAAACACAGTAAACATTTTGTCTTCTTCAAGCAGCACTAGGTATATGCTTCAAGATTCTCAATGCTTCAAAATTGGAACTGAATAAAACAGACATAAAACATAATCACAATAAACATTTGGTCTTGTTCAAGCAGCACTAGGTATATGCTTCAAAATTCTAAATGCTTCAAAATTGGAACTGAATAAAACAGACATAATTTAAACACAGTAAACATTTTGTCTTCTTCAAGCAGCACTAGGTATATGCTTCAAGATTCTCAATGCTTCAAAATTGGAACTGAATAAAACAGACATAAAACGTAAACACAGTAAACATTTTGTCTTCTTCAAGCAGCACTAGGTATATGCTTCAAGATTCTCAATACTTCAAAATTGGAACTGAATAAAACAGACATAATTTAAACACAGTAAACATTTTGTCTTCATCAAGCAGGACAAGCAACAAACTCCGAGGATTGGTGAAATAAGATTTACACGTATAAGCAATCGGGACTTCTTGAAAACTATTGAAAACTTCTAGGGGTGTATACGGTATTGTATAGTGTATCAGTGTGGATTGACAGGGCACAGAGTAGCTTGTTTGTTGTAATGAAATGAGTTGATAAGCCTGAGTGACCTCACAGTCATACTCGTCGCTGTAACAGCTGGGGGCGCCATTCTACATAACCACGTTTTAGGCTTCTGTGATTTTTCCCCCCACTTCTTTTCTTCACGGCATTCCTCAGATATCTCTGTCATTGTGATTTCCTTAAATTAAGATGGAGGACTATACACACAAACACAGGAGGCCAACACCTACTACCCAGGTTGTAAAGAGATGTACATCTTACTGCTGATGTTACATTGTAAAAGAAATGAAAATCCAGAAGACATTTTGTTATATATTATGTTCGCTGTATCAAACTTTATGTACTGCTGTTAATATCAATATTCATAACATAATTGGACCCTTATAAAACGCCACAGTCCTCCACGGATGGCTTTGTACGGGAAATTTTTACTTGTCAGCAGATGATAGATTGCTGTCAAAATATATTCTCAACTCCCTGTGAAGTACACAAACCAATCAGACAATATCAGGCCCTATCCAGTTTCCACTGATATTACCATCAAATCCCCCCACACAACTCAAAAATAACCATAACAATTTTGCAGTAATTATTTGTAAATTCTGCACACAATTCTGCAAACTTTTAAGTTTTGTTTTTATGAATTTCATAGTTTTGCACCTGTTTGACTTGCGGCGGGCATTTAAATTCATAAACATATCCATGGCTAGAATAGCCTACTGAAGGGAATCTGGAGATCACTAGTGTAAACAGAAGGACATGCACTCTCAGTAAGCAAAAATCAACATCACTTAGGATACTGGTTTCATTTAACCATTTCTCAAAATGTAAAATATTTAATAAATCGTTTGTAAATTATTTTTAAAATATTTTTGTCCATATAACACAAACACTTCAATCAAATAATTATTTGGAATGATTAATGAATACAATGCTCAATTCAATAATGACTCACTGTTTCATAAATCTATTAGACTTTTACACATTTAAAACAAGTTTTCGACTGACAAATTAAAATTCTGCAGTGTATTTGACATATTCTGCAGCAGATATATAGAGGATTCATCATGAGTGTTTTTTAATATGGGAAATATCAACCGAGTCTTAGTTAATCGGTATTTGCCGAGCCTTTGGCGAGGCAAATACCGATTAACGGGACGAGGTTGATATTTCCCATATTAAAAAACACGAGTGATGAATTCTATTTATCATTTTCACATTTTTGCTTCCAAATTAAGGAATAATTGCATTAAACATTAACATCAGCAACTTGTCGAAATCTTACGTGCGTATTCTCACTCGTGCGTAGTGATACATGTTTTCCATAGCCATGTAAACCAAAATAAACAATTCGCTGAGAAAAAAAGTTCCTCGGATTATTTTAAACAAAATACTTGAACAGACTTTGGCAGAATAATTGAAACTTTAATAACGGTAACAACAACGATTCTGTGTAATCTGATTATATCTCTGGTGTAACTTCACTTATAATATATAGTTTCAAATCAAACCGCTCTCTCTTCCGGTTAGCTAATTTGCATATATAATTTGCATACTTATGTCATTGGGGTATGACATACATGTTTTTATGTCATAAGCTTATGTCATGGATAAATGCTTTAGTTAAATGATAAATGAAGAATTATGCATAAGTTCTGCACAAGTTCTGCACAAAATGTGATTTTCTGCAAGATAGATGCATTTCTGCAAATATTCCGCAACCATGATATCGCAGAATACAGCAGGGACTGATATCAGCATATTCTGCAGGGAGGCAAACTAGCGCTGCCCAAGTCAGTTTGTCAACAGTTGCAAGACCCCTGAGGACAGTTTGGGGGGTGTCCCCATGATCCACTACACAGACCAGTGAATGTTACAGGTCATGACGTGTTACCTTAAGACAGTTTGGGGGGTGTCCCCATGATCCACTACACAGGCCAGTGAATGTTACAGGTCATGACGTGTTACCTTGAGGACAGTTTGGGGGGTGTCCCCATGATCCACTATACAGACCAGTGAATGTTACAGGCCATGACGTGTTACCTTGAGGACAGTTTGGGGGATGTCCCCATGATCCACTACACAGACCAGTGAATGTTACAGGTCATGACGTGTTACCTTGAGGACAGTTTGGGGGATGTCCCCATGATCCACTACACAGACCAGTGAATGTTACAGGTCATGACGTGTTACCTTGAGGTCAGTTTGGGGGATGTCCCCATGATCCACTACACAGGCCAGTGAATGTTACAGGCCATGACGTGTTACCTTGAGGACAGTTTTGGGGATGTCCCCATGATCCACTACACAGACCAGTGAATGTTACAGGTCATGACGTGTTACCTTGAGGACAGTTTGGGGGGTGTCCCCATGATCCACTACACAGGCCAGTGAATGTTACAGGTCATGACGTGTTACCTTGAGGACAGTTTGGGGGGTGTCCCCATGATCCACTACACAGGCCAGTGAATGTTACAGGTCATGACGTGTTACCTTGAGGACAGTTTGGGGGATGTCCCCATGATCCACTACACAGACCAGTGAATGTAACAGGTCATGACGTGTTACCTTAAGACAGTTTGGGGGATGTCCCCATGATCCACTACACAGACCAGTGAATGTTACAGGTCATGACGTGTTACCTTGAGGACAGTTTGGGGGATGTCCCCATGATCCACTACACAGACCAGTGAATGTTACAGGTCATGACGTGTTACCTTAAGACAGTTTGGGGGATGTCCCCATGATCCACTACACAGACCAGTGAATGTTACAGGTCATGACGTGTTACCTTGAGGACAGTTTGGGGGGTGTCCCCATGATCCACTATACAGGCCAGTGAATGTTACAGGTCATGACGTGTTAAGTTGAATCCCTGTTCTGCTTGAACAAAAGAAATTGTTTACCGATTGAACCTGATACTAAATCCAATCCAAGCAAACATACAACTTATATATTATTAGATCTAACCCAAATATCCAAGATAACGAGCCAGACAAGCTGAAATATTTGGTGTGCTGGCACCAAGTAATCATCACATAATACAATGGTATTAGTTTCGTTAATTACATTATACATTGTTAAAGGGAGAGAACTCCGAGTCCTGCCCATAATTCCTGCCCAGTTACTGAGAGAGAAAGTTTGTATATGATTTGTATGAGGATAGTCAAACAGAGTTTCCTTGCCATTGTACCCTTCAATATAGCACTACTCGGTGAAATTGTTTCATACATAAAAATATCCAGCAATCATCTGTACCAAAGTGCTACACTTGTGGTTCTTATAATTTTAAATATAAATAATAAACATGATAAAAGCTGACATTAAAATATCACGATATTAGAATATATTATTCCTGATAAAATAATAATTTCAGATACATTTCTTCTGACCACTGCATCAAAATTCTTTGAAGTTGCATCATTGGGTACTTTTTAATGGAATCACCGTTAATTTTGGAGAAAACGTGTGTACAGCTGATTGCTATCTCCACCTTAGTTGACAAGAAAATACACATGGTAATCTTAATCTCTGCACATAAAACAATGCCTTGGAGAGCGGGAAATACAATTCAAATTATAAATCACAATGTCTAGCGATGTTTTATACCAAATTTAATAATTTTATTGACCAAGTTTGTTATACCTGTTCGTTCACCTGGATTCGGTGAAGGGATACGATGTGTGTTTTTTTAAATCACATAACATATGAAAAATCTATTTTTTACCAGTACACTATGAATCATAAACAAGTACTATTCTAATCTTTTTTCAAACTGTGAAACGTGCATTGTAGATTGTGTTAGGTGGCCAGTGTCTGGCTATGCTGATGTGTTGTTTCTTTGGCCTGATTTGAACAGCTGGGACTGCTGATATGTATTGACTGTCTAGAAGACTTTGTTCTCACAAGAAGGGTTGCTGGGATAGCCTAGTGGTTAAAGTGTTCACCCGGGTTTGATTCCCCAAATATGGGGCACAATGTGTGATGCCCATTTCTGGTATCTCCTGCTGTGATATTACTGGAATATTGCTACAAGTACAAGCGGTGTAAAATTCAACTCACTCACTCAAACAAGAAGTTTGTCCTGGCCTGAAACTTCATACAATGCAAAAACAAAACACTTTTTTATGGATACAATGAATTTACCGGAGTAACATAATTAATTTTAAAAATAATAGTCAAGATATTTGAAGTTATATCTTTACATATTTCTGGGTGCTGTTGTACAAAACAACCATAGCGCTACGACTGTCATAAGTCTATGTTAAAGTATAGGAGTTACGATCACCTTAGCGCTACGACTGTCGTAAGTCTACGTTAAAGTATAGTAGTTACGATCACCTTAGCACTACGACTGTCGTAAGTCTACGTTAAAGTATAGGAGTTACGATCACCTTAGCACTACGACTGTCGTAAGTCTATGTTAAAGTATAGGAGTTACGATCACCTTAGCACTACGACTGTCGTAAGTCTACGTTAAAGTATAGGAGTTACGATCACCTTAGCGCTACGATCGCTTTGTACAACAGCACCCTAGTCAATTATAGATTAAGGAGTCAGTCACGTAAAATAAAATTAATTATTTTAGTCAAATCCTTACACCAAAGAGGACAAAAATTGTTGCCTTAGCCATTTAAGCAGGCAATGTGGGTTTTGAATGATTTGAATCAAAACTGCAACGGCTGCCAAATGGCCTGATCCTATTCTCCCTGAAAACTCCTTCTGGATTACCAGGTCAGGTAGTAACAGTTTCTTGTACAACCCAACAACCCCGCCTAAATAAGGTCACAGCCCCATCAGAAGGTTCAAGGTACGAGAAGATCCACACATTCCATCTGATACATTCTCTATTTACCCTGTACTTAATTCATTATATACTTTTCAGGTCAAGGCAGCGGTTCGAACCAGAAGCGTGTTGCATTCACCGCCGCACTTACAGAAAACGTCGGCCCAGTGAACCTGGCCACTCCACTCAAATACAGAGACATCGTCCTGAACGAAGGTAACGTGGGTCATAGACTCGCTCAACAACAGTGTGTGTGTGTGTGTGTGTGTGTGTGTGTGTGTGTGTGTGTGTGTGTGTGTGTGTGTGTGTGGTAATTATATCCAGGAGTGAGATTTTCTTAAAAATACATATTATTTTTTCCTTTTGATCACATAAATTTAGAGATAGTTTCATAAACCTAGACACTCCACTAAACACAAAGACATCATCATAAACAACGGTAACCCATATCAGGGACACTCTCAACAACAGGGATTATATTAGTAGCAGTTTATAGCAAGTGCCTGTAGCATTTATCATTTTCTCCCAAACTGGGATTTTTATAAAAATATTAAAATGTTTTCTTAAATTCAGAGAGAGGAGCATTGCACTCAAAAGAATAATGTGAAACTAGGTATTTGACCTTTTTTCCTTTAATGGTCGTGTTATCAGAGAAACACAGCTGACAAGTCACCTTTGTAGAGTTAAAAAATAAAAGTAATAATTTTACTGCTCACCTTGGTATAGAAAGTCTTAATTTTATTTTGGGACAATTTTACTGGCTTATCCCGGAATCTGGGTACTGCCTATGATATCATCCATAAACAATGAGTGAGTGAGTTGGGTTTAACGCCGCTTTTAACAGTATTCCAGTTATATCGCAGCGTGTCAGCTTAATGTGGGAGGAAAGCCCGAAGTGATACAGGTCTCAGACATTTACTACTTCAGTGAAACCCATGAGCACGGGTATGGTGCTGACATACCTAGAAACATAATCGGGGCAAACCGAGATTCAAAACCCACAATCATAGGTTTCTGGCGTGCCCAAGGGACGCAACTCTGCAATTGCGGCGCCTTAGACGACTGGGCCACCCGTGCCCCCCTCCATAAACAAAGAACAAGTAACTATCAGTAATGTTTACTCTATCAACAATCTACCCGACAGTTGTGTGATATGTTGCTCAACATGTACAGAGTATCAATCGTCGTTTTTTCTGGTCAAGACCTGATTATTTACAGGTCTCCCTGACATAGCTGGAATATTGCTGAGGGCGTCATAAGACAAAAACAAACAAATAAACAAAAAAAATCAACAAATTTGCTCAGGTTGTTGATTAAGCTTATAGCTTCATCCAGATTTCAATTTCTAACCCGAGAAATAATCAACAGCGCACGATATCACACTAGAGCGGTGGACTACCATTGAAACTATAGCACTGGTTGTTGTGCAGGTTGACTAGACTTGGTCCTACAGGCCAGCAGCAGTGTCACAACAACTTCTATCCATAACCTGCATAATTTGGTTCAAATCTGGCCTTAAAATGTCCACAAGAATATGTAAACTTTCTGTAGGGCAGATTTCATTTGCCGGAACAGGAAATAGTCACTAGGGGCTAAGTCTGGGCTGAAGGGTGGGTGATTTAACTTTACAGCCCAGACTTAGCCACCAGTGGTTATTTCCTGTTCCTGCAAATGAAATCTGCCCTACGTGGAAGACGCTTCCAGGACGACGAGGACATAAAGACTGCCACAGAGGCGTGGTTAGAGGGCCAATCTGTGTATTTCTATAAAAGTGGTATTAAAATCTTGAAGGACAAATGGAATAAGTGTATTGAGGTGAATGGAGATTATATTGAAAATATAAAGTGCAAAAGATATTCTGCGACTTCGTCTTATATTGAAGTTGCAAAACTTATTGAACGCCCTCGTATTACTATGGTTATTATGTCATCGATTGATAGACTAACTATAGTAATATAAAAGCATCAGGTGCTCCTTGACTGTTTTGAGAAGTATATAATCCTTAATTATCCCAAATTGGTTCCCACAGGAGATATCGCTTGGTTGATTTGGTTGGTTTGTTGTTTAACGCCGCACTCAGCAATATCCAGCTATATGACGGCGGTCTATAAATAATCGAGTCTGGACCAGACAATCCAGTGATTGACATCATGAACATCGATCCACGCAATTGAGATACGATGACATGCATCAACCAAGTCAGCGAGCCTGACCACCCGATCCCGTTAGTCGCCTTTTACGACAAGCATAGTCACCTTTTACGGCAAGCATGGGTTGCTGAAGACCTATTCCACCCCGGAATCTTCACGGGTCTCGCTTGGTTGTGATCAAGCTGTTGGATGATAAAAAAATCTCCCCCGTTGACAAAAGAGGAAAATCACCTCAGTAAGACTCAGAGTTTTTCCACTTTCATCAACCTGTGTTGATATATTTGATATCAAAAGACACGAGTGTGAGATTCTCTATATGACAAACATGTGAAGATAATAGAGTAAAATCTCCGAGTCCATATTCTTGACTAAAAGTCTGTGATAGTTGCTCCCTGCTCACATTAGGCTCTGAGCCAACTGAGGGCAGGACCAACATTGCACTGAAACACCTAATTCATTTCCCACAATGTAATGAGAACAAGATGCGGAGGTGTTGGTGGTACGGAGGGAGGGAGAGCCCCTCCAGCCGGCCTCTGATTGGATATAGTGGGTTCCTTCATTTAAGAATATCAAAACCTCATGTTAATTTCCGGGTCTCTGAACCTGGAATGTTTTAAATACCAACACTTGCTTTATGAATGAATCTGGTTCCAAATTAAACACATATGATTCAATTTGCTTTTTAAAGACATTTTGCTAAAATATATAAACACTCATCATATGAATGAAAATGGTTTCATGACAAGAACAAATATTTAACTTGAATTTTGTTTCATGACATTTTGACCATAAATAATTCTTGTTTTAAGAATGAATCCAGTTTCATATCAAGCAAACATAATTCAAATTTTGTTTTAAAACATTTTGATAAAAAATATCAACACTCGGTTTATGAAAGAATCGAGTTTAAAGAAAACTTAACTTCAATTTTGTTTCATGAATATTTTGATAAAAAAAATAAAAATCGAACACCTTTAATGTGAGAAAAATATGCAATTATTTTATCTTGAAAAAAACTTGAATTGAAATGGAATGAAAAATAAAGGTCAGGAAACTGAGCATGGATCTCGTTGTCAGAAATCCCAAATCTTGAAAATGATGGCAAATGACATCAGCATGGTCGTTGTCAGCGAACATTCGGACATTTCCCATGAAGAAATGAGTAGGTAAATAGGCTACATAGGTCTCTATAGACAGCAATACTCCAGCTATATGACGGCGGTCTGTAAATAATCAAGTCTGGACCAGACAATCCAGTGATTGACGTCAGGCGCATTTACCTATGCAATTGGGATATGATGACATGCATCAACCATGTCAGCAAGCCCGACCACCCGATCCCGTTAGTCGCCTCTTATGACAAGCATGGGTTGCTGAAGTCATAGTCTCCCCGGAATCTTCACAGAACTTATTTTTATTGATTGAGTAGTTTATCTTACATAAGTTCATCATGTTAATGATATAAGAGACCTTCGGACAAACCCAACCAGTGCTCAAATTGTGGTAAAACAAGTCAAGATTTTTGTCATGACCTTATATTGAAACGAATGATAAATGGGGATAAACTAGCAGACCCCATGAAGCCTTCAATTTGAACAACAGGTCAGATAAATATCCAAACTTCTTAAAAACCTAAGCAGGGATTATCTGGGACAGCTACCATCAGCAGGTGCCCTTGCAGGCAGTTTAATTGAAATTCTTTTGTAATAATTTTCTTCAATTTTTATTTTCAAAAGTCTGATTTTCAGAGGATTTCAACATTGCAATAATGTACGACTTAGCATTATGCCTCTTCCTCTATAGTGGTCCTGTCATCAGTGAAATACAAGTCATCTCTACAAAGGCATTATGTTAGTTCTTTTGACATCACTTAGGAAATAAATTCCAAATTTGGGACATTTACTACAGACTTGGGGCCGAATATCTGCTCCCGAGCAGGGCTTCTTTCCACAAAGTGATCTTAAGATGCTCACGACGTTCATAGGCTGACAACAGTCGTAGTGCTAAGATACTTGTAACGTCCATTAGGCTAACGATAGTCTTAGCGCTAAGATGCTCATGACATCCATAGGCTGACAACAGTCGTAGTGCTAAGATGCTTGTAACGTCCATTAGGCTAACGATAGTCTTAGCGCTAAGATGCTCATGACATCCATAGGCTGACAACAGTCGTAGTGCTAAGATGCTTGTAACGTCCATTAGGCTAACGATAGTCTTAGCGCTAAAATGCTCATGACATCCATAGGCTGATAACAGTCATAGTGCTAAGATGCTTGTAACGTCCATTAGGCTAACGATAGTCTTAGCGCTAAGATGCTCATGACGTCCATAGGCTGACAACAGTCGTAGTGCTAAGATGCTTGTAACGTCCATTAGGCTAATGATAGTCTTAGTGCTAAGATGGTCATAACGTCCATATGCTAACAACAGTCTTAGTGCTAAGATGCTTATGACGTACATTAGGCTAATGACAGTGGTAGCGCTAAGATGGTCATAACGTCCATATGCTAACAACAGTCTTAGTGCTAAGATGCTTATGACGTACATTAGGCTAATGACAGTGGTAGCGCTAAGATGCTTATGAGGTACATTAGGCTAATGACAGTGGTAGCGCTAAGATGCTTATGATGTACATTAGGCTAATGACAGTGGTAGCGCTAAGATGCTTATGACGTACATTAGGCTAATGACAGTGGTAGCGCTAAGATGGTCATAACGTCCATATGCTAACAACAGTCTTAGTGCTAAGATGCTTATGACGTACATTAGGCTAATGACAGTGGTAGCGCTAAGATGCTTATGAGGTCCATTAGGCTAACGACAGTCGTGGCGCTAAGATGCTCATGAGGTCCATTAGGCTAACGACAGTCGTAGCGCTAAGATGCTTATGACTTCCATTAGGCTAACAACAGTCTTAGCACTAAGATGCTAATGACTTCCATTAGGCTAACAACAGTCTTAGCGCTAAGATGCTTATGACTTCCATTAGGCTAACAACAGTCTTAGCGCTAAGATGCTTATGACGTCCATTAGGCTAACGGCAGTCTTAGTGCTAAGATGGTCATGACGTCCATTAGGCTAACGACAGTCTTAGCGCTAAGATCACTTTGTAGAGGGGTCCCTATTCCAGACAAATCACTACTAAAGCTGCAACATTCTCATCTCTCCAGGTGCAGCCTACAACCTCATCACCGGCATCTTCACAGCTCCGCACAACGGCACGTACGTCCTGTCCTACAATGCCTTGTCCCAGTACGGGCGAGCCGTGGAACTGACGCTGCTCCACAACGCAAAGATCATCAGCTCCGTCCATTCCCGTGAGACGGGCGGCTACACAGGCGTCAGCAACACCATCGCTGTTCGCCTGGCGGTAGGAGACAGACTGTGGATCGAGCTGAGCGCGGGTATTTACTACGTGTATGGAGACACTGGCAGGCACTCACTGTTTTCAGGATACCTATTGTATGCAGACTGAAGACACGACGAAACTGACGACTGTCATTCGCAATATTTCATTTTGGATCATTGAACTTTGTTACAGAGAATTGTGAGACATTTATTTGACATCAATATTGCAACAATTAATCAACTGATATTTTTGTAGCAAAACTTAAGAATTGGATTATTTCACATAATCCCCATTTCATATGGATTATGGTGCTGTCGTTACAACATACAACTGTACACATTTCATCAACCAAAGTCTGAATGTGAAAAGTGTTTCGGGACGAGCCTTTGTTTTGACTTGGACTGACAGTGTACAGATATCTGAACAGAATCACGGTTTGATTGGCATTCTAGAAGTTGGCGAGTAAGTAAGAAAAGGAAATCTTTATGGATAACAGCTTCTTGTTTATCGCATATTGCAACGTTTGGATGTAGATTCTCACAATGTTATCCCGCTTGATAACGGTGTAAGATCTACATTGAATCGTGGCTATACGCAATAAACCAGAAGTTGTTATCCATATAGATCTACGTTTTCTTAAGTACAAAGTCAGAACAAACACCGGATTATTGTGGTGAAACTGTGAAGGCGGCCCCAGTACTGTTGGGCCCCCAGTGTGTGGCCTTCACACCATCTTCCCGAGGCAAGAGAGTTAACTGACTTTAAAAGTCCAGTTTCCACCCTTGCCGAACTAGGCTGGTATTCCTGGGCTCATTCGTAGCGCCACCAGTGGTCATTTTGAGTTATGTCCCTTCTGAGCCTCTCCTATGGACCAATCTGATTCCATCACTTGCATTTGTTTCAAACAAAATGGCGGCACCCAGTCAAGACGATCTGATCGATAATCAAGATCTATATTGTGATAAAACGGATCATACATCGCAAAGTGCATCAAATCAGGCGAGCACCCCGATTAAAAACATGAAAAGATGTTGAAAATATCTGTTGACAACGAGTTGGTGGTGCACGTTTTGCAAATCCTGCAATCGACCGAAATCTGCACGACAGTTTACGAACCGGATTTCGATCTCGTTGCGAGGTTTTGATTGGACTATGGATAGACTCGTTAGTCCAGCCAAAATGTAACTCCATAGTACCAGCCTAGTTCGGCAAGGGTGGAAACTGGACCTTTATAGTCAGTTAACTCTCTTGCCTCGGGAAGCTGCCATCACGGCCACCAACAGTATCTGATAACGGACACCATAGACATTGTTTTTTACTTCTTGTACTGAAGACAATATTAAAAAAGATTGTCATGTGGACATCATTTCTTCCTCACACACAATGTTCCAGCCATATTTGTATGTTACAGTCATCAACATAAGGCCTTTATTTCTTGTTAGTTGGTTTACCAAACAATGGCCTAACATTCATTGTCGGTGGTCAAAAAGAAAAGAAAGATTTTCAACTTCCAGATTAGCACTGCTATAATGAATGAAAAACCAAGCTCACATGCACACCTTCACGGAAGTACGATTACGAAAGGATACCGAAAGATAATTGATTGTTTTGTTAGATAAAAGAATTTTATATGTAATCTTTCATTTTTTTATGAACAGTGGTGATAAAATCTTGTGCTGTTTTTGATTTGCAGTGAGGTGAAATTTCACCTCTCACAAAGCAACGAAAAAACAATATGAGCTCTGATTAGCATCCTGGTCACTTAATGAAGTAAGTTGGTTGATTTGGTGGGTTGGTTGTTTAACGCCGCACTCAGCAATATTCCAGCTATATGACGGCGGTCTGTAAACAATCGAGTCTGGACCAGACAATCCAGTGATTAATATCATGAACATCGATCCACCCAATTGGGATTGATGACATGCCAAGTCAGCGAGCCTGACCACCCGATCCCGTTAGTCGCCTTTTACGACAAGCATAGTCACCTTTTACGGCACGCATGGGTTGCTGAAGATCTGTTCTACCCCGGAATCTTCACGGTTCAAACCGATCAGAACATGGAAGTTAACAATACGCTTCCGTCAGTAGGATTTGTCATAAACTCGTTTACATTTTTACAAAACTATATTTAGCACTACAAATAGATTTTATCAAAACTGACTAAAGAGATTCTTAATTTTAAGATTGTCTGAAGCTGATTTTCTTGTTTGCTACAATTTCATGTGAGTCGGACAAGCATGACAAGTTGGGCATTAATGTTTCAGCACCCGTCTCCTTATCCCCCAAACAGACACAATATAATAATGTTGCATTTGCAGGTAGTCAAGTGTGCTTGAAAAACACAAAGTCAAAAAGTCATTCTATTGTGCACAATGTTAACTGATCAAAAGAAGCACTTGTCAAGAAATACCACCAGTGTGTAGACAAGAGGTGACATTTCATATAACATCACATTGATAAGTGCTTTAATGAATGCTAATGTGAGTGAGTGAGTGAGTGAGTGAGTGAGTGAGTGAGTGAGTGAGTGAGTGAGTGAGTGAGTGAGTGAGTGAGTGAGTGAGTGAGTGAGTGAGTGAGTGAGTGAAAACCAAGCACAAATAATTAATGATTTCAGTATATAGAGACTTTCCAAGTTTCACAAGCAAGGTACAGGGACTTATCAAGACCTGACCAGAATCTCTTAGTCTGCAGCAATTGGCAGTAAAAAAATTCTTTCATGTAAATACAGTTATAATGAATATGATAGCTTTGTCGACATGACGAGACCGAAACAGAGGAATAGGAACATTTTACATTACTGTATTGAATGTATTGCTACAGGCCTCAAAGTTTAAATTTTTACCAAGTAGCCATATGGCTACAAGTAGTTTTTTCCAGGTAGCCAGTGGTAAAATTAAGAAGTCGAGCCAATAGTGTAGGTAGCCAAAAGCATTTGAAATTATTTTTTATCAAATAACTTCTATTGCATATTAGTGGAAACTGTACTTGATTTTTGTTGTTTGTGACTCGAACAATGATGCAATTTATGTTACTAGATTATATAGGTATATCCTTGCTTATCCAATAAAGTATCAACTAAAATAAAATACTAATTACATTAATATTCATGTATTTCGGTTCATTGTTGACTTCGGGAGGAATTATTTGTGAGTACAATTATTAGCAGACATGTTTATTTTTGTGTCTACATATGTGTATCAATAGAATTTAGTTGCCACAAGATATTTTTCAAGGTAGTCATTTGGCTACCTCTGTATTTTAGACAGTAGACAAATTGAAATTTGTGTCGCATTGGCGACCATTTTAGTCGCAACTTTGAGGCCTGTGTTACGGTGCCGTTTAAAATACCTCTGAAAATAAGAACTTAAAAAAACAAAATGTCAAAATACAAAAACAATTTCCCCAGTTTTCCTGCCATGGGCACCAAGTTTGAAATCTGAGATAAATCCCCGAGGTATGAATGTCAAGTATTCTGAAAACTAAACTTGGAACTGATGTAGGAATTCCTGTTTAGAACAGGTCCCCAGAAACCTCTGCTTGTCTACGAGGCAGGGTTTCCGATTAGTTCGTTTTCTAGGACATTGACTGATTGTCATTCAAAATGTCCTACAGATATTTTTCAAGTTTGGTAATGCCACTAAAGAATGTCCTGTCTCTATTTGCTGATATCATCTCCTTATGACATTTGTCCTAACAAAATCACTGAGAGGCGACCAAGTTAAATTGATGGTCAGGTGAGGTGAAATTGGGTTTTACGTCACGTCCACGATTATTGCACTAATATGCACACGTGTGTGTGTGTGTGTGTGTGTGTGTGTGTGTGTGTGTGTGTGTGTGTGTGTGTGTGTGTGTGTGTGTGTGTGTGTGTGTGTGTGTGTGTGTGTGTGTGTGGCTGCTAGTACTAGCCCGGACTGATGCCGATTTATAGTGCTAGCACACTGAGATACCATGCCGCAGTTTAACATGAATACCCTGCTCAGACACAGTATACTGACTCCGAGCCGACCAGTCCTTGTTTTAGCCCCTTAATGCCGAGCGCCAGACAGGGTAACAACAAGTACAATCTTTTAGCGTCTTCCGGTATGACACGGCCGGGGATCGAACCCCGGACCTTCCGCTCCCCGGGCGGACGCTCTACCACTAGACCACGGAGGCGGTCAATTGATGGTCAGACTAGGTACTTGGTGTCTTGCATGATTGCATGTCATCGTATCCCTGGACTGAGAGATTCTGTTAATGATATAATCACTATTTTGTGTGATCCAGACTCAATATTCATATGCCGCAGTCAATTTTTCAAGAATAAAATCAAAGGCTGGATCAAAATAGGAAGGGAGATAACTCCTACCTTCCTCTGCCGTCAGCATGTGATGGTTGACAAGGAGGTCGAATGCTTCATAGCAGTAGACATCCTGCTTCAGTGCCTCCTGGAAGCACACTGCTGCCTGTTGTCGGTTATCCATTGCTTCGTAGATTTTACCTCGCAGTAGGTTCACTGAGTTCTCAGACTGGCAAAACAAGCGATAAATGAAATGGTTAAATAAATAATGTTTCCAGGCAACCGTCCTGATTATACAAATGTATATTTATTCTCCAAAACTGGTTTCCACAAGATTTGCTGATCATTGAGACATCATGGGTTATCACAGAGCTCCAGATAAGCTGCGTATCTGCGTAAAATATGCATCAGAAATATGCAGTAAAATAAAATCTAAGCTTATCAAATACGCAACGAACATTACAGATACGCTACAAAAATAAAACTTGTGCGTATCATCAAAATATTGTGAAGTAACCCTGTGTATTCGATTAGCAAATCAGCAACTTATTTTGAAATTATAAACAGGCATTCCGTCAACCTTGCCAAACTCCACGATGACAGTTATATATATTTGCCATCACACTTTCTTGTGGAAGTGTCGTGGTATTTTTGAGTCCTATAAAGCTCTCGAAACCCAAACGACACCAGTTTGCAGGGACTAGATGAATAGAGTTTTTAAATATTTAACTTAAATACCGACAGGTGTAAAAACTAGTGGGTAACAGAAATTTGAATACCCAGATAGAATTACTGATACCCAATGATTTTAAAATGCATGGGTAAAATACCCACAACACCAAAAGCTTATCTGGAGCTCTGTTATCATGATGTCGGCATCTCATGACATCACTAATTTCTCTGCCACTGAAGCTGGTTAGCTCTGCTTTTTACACTCAAGACACTGGTTGTCTAACTGAAGCATATGGTAGGCAATACCTACTGATCATGCTGAAGATTTATGTTTTCTTTGTTTGTTTGATTAATACCTCATTTGTCAATATTCCAGCTATATGACAGTGGCCTGTAAATAATCACATCATGACTGACATCATGAGCATCAATCTACACTTGAATCTACTTTGAATACAATGACATGCATCAACCAAGTCAGCGAGCCTGACAACCTGATCCTGTAAATCGCCTCTTAGGACACGTTATGGTCCCAAACCAGGTAACTGACCCAACATTTCTCATAGCCCATGTCAAAATAGCTGCAATAGAAATTCTAAAATAAACATTTCTAAAACTCCTTAATATCAAATGGCACCAGTTCAGTATGTGCTTTATATATAGACATGCAATGTTTGGCAGGGAAATATTTAACAGTTTATTTGTTATACTCCATAAGTGAACCCACCCTATATTAAAACTTAAATCCAACTTGTTGCCATGGAAACGTAAGAAAAAAAAAAGAAAAAAAATTCCTAAGTAGCAAAAGGCACCAGTTCAGTATGTGCCTGGTAGACATGCAAAGTTTTGTAAGAAAGTATTTAACAGTTTTTGAGTTACGCCCTGGAAACGAAAACCACCCTTGCAGTCCAACTTGTTGTCATGGAAACGTAAAACATAAAAATTTATAAAATTCCTAAATAGCAAAAGGCACCAGTTCAGTATGTGACTGATAGATTTGCAAAGTTTCAATCAAATACACTGAATTGTTTTCGAGTTCTGCCTCAGAAAAGGAAATGATTACGGACGGTCAGACAGACTGGCTGATCGCTATATCCCTCCGCATTATATGCCGGGGGGATAAAAATGTATTCAGCGACAACAAATCTTAACAAGCTATTTGAATCACACTCTAACAAATGCTGAATAAGATATTGGACAAGAAGTCTTGAAACATTGCCCTTTTTATTAGGCTTGTTTTACAATTAGTACTTACATCTTTGATAAGAAGGCTTGTCTCCGCATCTGTGAGGTTGAACCTAGGTGGCGCTGTGTTGAGTGAGTGAGTGTTATCCACCATGTCGAGGATGTTGAGGGCTTCCTGCCACTCACGGCATTCATACTGAAACAACAGTTCTCCATATCACACCTGGTTATTGGACCAAATCAGAGCCAAACTATATATCCGCATGATCAGTTAATCAAAGAAATATTTTTTTCTCAAATAAGATCTAATTTTTTCTGACATATAACCTGTCCATTAACCATAAGTCATAAAACGTCAACATTTTCGCACAATTGTACACTGATATTGTTGTTTTTGAAAAAAAAATTTTTTTTCTATACCAAATAGCTACTCTTATTTATTACGTTCATAGACTTAAGTGCACAAACAAAAGCTCCACATGACCTGCGTATTTGTGCCAAGTACGCAAAATAAATAATTATTATTACCTACAAGACTACAAATATGCATGAGAATTTGGAAACCCAATAGTATAACAACACCCTATAGTATAACAACACCCAATAGTGTAACAACATCCTATAGTACAACAACACCCAATAGTATAACCATGATAACAACACCCAATAGTATAACAACACCCAATAGTATAACAACACCCAATAGTATAACAACACCCAATAGTATAACAACACCCAATAGTATAACAACACCCAATGTGGCCTTCACAACTAGTGCACCTGTATTTATTTACAAATCTTCATTTACTGATTGAATGCTTGTTTTTGTTTGTTTGTTGTTTAATGCTGCACTCAACAATATTCCAGCTATATGACGGCGGTCTGTAAATAATCGAGTCTGGACCAGACAATCCAGTGATTGACATCATGAGCATCGATCCACGCAATTGGGATACGATAACATGCATCAACTAAGTCTGCGAGTCTGACCACACAATCTGTTAGTCGCCTTTTACGACAAGCATAGTCACCTTTTACAGCAAGCATGGGTTACAATACAATAACAAGTCAGCATTTATTATTTGTTATATTCAGTGAAAAAAACACAAAAAACAAGAATTATTTGACATGGTTTGTTAATTATTAATATATTACACATTTATATACTGCACTTCTCCAGGTTCTAGTATCTGCTCAAATGTGACAATGACCAGTGAACCCAATACTGTCAAATCAAATATTATAAGAGTGTTGTCTGTGAAGAAATCTATGCATATAATATGTTCTTATGGATAGGTACAGGGTATGTAAATGAACATGATTGCATATTCATAAATATTCGGCCACAAGTAACGAATTCAATTCATGAACGGATATGATTCACCAAATATGCGAGTGAATTGTAACTGCCCTGATGAAAACACAATGTAACATGATAACAAATCAAAAGGTTATCTGGAGCCCTGATAGAAATGACAAAGCATAAACACCACACACATCTTGTGTGTAATCTTCCCGGGGCAAGAGAGTTAACTGACTTTAAAAGTCCAGTATCCACCCTTGCCGAACTAGACTGGAATTCCTGGGCTCGATCGTAGCGCCACCAGTGACTATTACGAGTGGCTGTTATGAGTTATATCCCTTCTATACCTCTCCTACTGACCAATGAGATTCCACCTCTTGTATCACTTGCATTTGCTTCAAACAAAATGGCTGCACCCAGTCAAGACCATCTGATCAATAATCAAATTCTATATTGTGATCAAACGGGTCTTACATCGCGAAGCACCTTGATTAAAAACATGAAAAGATTTGAAAAATATATGTTGACAACGATTTGGCAGCGCACATGCTTTACAAATCCTGCAATTGGCCAAAATCTGCACGACAGTTTAGGAACCATATTTCTATTGCATTGCTCCATTGTGATTGGATGCATAGACTCGTTAGTCCAGCCAATATGTAACTACATAATACCAGCCTAGTTCAGCAAGGGTGGAAACTGGACTTTTATTGTCAGTTAACTCTCTTGCCTCGGGAAGAAGCTTGTGCATAGGCTTTGTTTCAACTACTGAAAAGAGCAGAACTGGCCTTTCTGACACAGTTCTTTTCCTTATCTTTTCAAGATTCCCTCTTCTTGGTGACAACAGTTGGTTAAAAATGAAAATGGCGAAATCAATCCACATACTTACATGACACTTAGCAGCGAGATATCTACATGATGGATGTGTCTGGAATATCAAGTTCCCAAAGATATATTGAACCATTACATTACTAATCATTCAAAGTATTGATCAAATAAATGTGTACAATCAAACCTTTACACAATTTTGACAAGATTATTGTCTCACACATGGCCAACATGATGAGCCAAGCAAATCAGGGATTCAAACCCAGGATCATAAGTGTTTTACACACCTGACGGTTTGTTTGTTTGTTGTTTAATGCCGTACTCAGCAATATTCCAGCTATATGAAGACAGTCTGTAAATAATCGAGTCTGGATCGGTAAACCCGAGATTGACACCTTGAGCATTGATCAACGCATTTGGGATACAATGACCAGCATCAACCAAGTCAGCGAGCCTAAGCACCCGATCCCGTTAGTCGCCTTATGACAAGCATGGCTTGCTGCAGACCTATTCTAACCCGTATCTTCACTGGACCACATACATAGCTCTTCTGAGTATTAAACATTGTTAAACATGTTGTTTGTTGTGTGATTAGTACAACACTCATCATAACCTGCCATCATGATTATTGTAATACATATTTAGTCATATAATAATCATGATAATATTATTTCAATTTCAATAATATTACATCTTTTACTCCGATTCTATTCCAAGCATGTCAAGATCTTACATGACCAGCATTGTTAAAACTCAGTATGAGAGGGCAAAGCAATCAAAGTAGCCCATCTGATGTCTGCTTCTCGAAAATGAACAGAAAAGGACAGTTCCACAGGAACAACAATAATGGCTGCACTATTTTAAATTTTTTTACACCCTGTTGTTTCAGCCGTGTCTTTCACTAAACAAATTTAGATTTTTTTTCGGAAGTGATTACATTTTACCCATACCAATTAGTAAATCTACTCGTTCAGTGATCACTGTTGTCGAGGGTTTCCAGTTTGACAATGGTACCGAATCTCAGTTTGTCAGATATTGACAGATATTGACAGAGATTTACTGAGACTGACTACAAGCTTAATGTTAAACTTAATCAAACTGAAGGGAGATAACCCACCTTGTCTAACTTCTTGTTCCGCAGTAGATGGGAGGCTCGGTGATACTGACCTGTGAGGTATAAGGTCTGAGCATACCAATATACGTCTTCCACGGAACCTGTATGATCACCAAGAGAAAATCTGTATTAACTTTGAAACAGTGAAGTTTTTAAGTTAACAAATTAGGATTAGAAAGACTTTGTCGGACCCATGGGCTGGAAATATGTGATTCCAAGTTCCTGACAGCCCCTGCTATGGAGTTCCCAAACATCAGGCTTTTCTCTCTTTTTTTCCCTCAATATATTCCTTATGGTACTGGCATAAGTATTATGTCTGCAATAACAACTTTGTAATACAATTGTTGATTGTATACTATTTGTTCAATCTCATTAAAATCAGATCTTAGTTTTCTCTACCGCTTAACAAAGATCTGAAGACATCCCATTAGGGTCACATCAGACCGACCTTGCGCGAACTTTGCCCGACCAATGGAATGACCAATCAGAAGGCTGCTTTCTCATGCTTAACGGCACTAATTTCAAATTGGCGACTTCGCTTCGAAACATATTTTGACATATTCTTGATTAAAAATTTAAAATCTGATAAGAAGAACATTCTGGAATGGCTTATAGATGGCCTAGATTGTATGGATATAATCATAAAACTCGTAACTATCGTTCAGAATACCCCGTGTTAAATATATCGTGGTTGCATGATTTGAAAACACATTCCGACTGTCACTTTCATGATCTGGTAAGCAACGCTCTGATTGGTTGGATGAAAGGTCGTTCTGACGTGACCCGTAATGGGATGTCCTCAGATCTTTGTTTAGCGATAACGAGAACTAAGATCTGATTTTAATGAGATTGACTATTTGTTGGTTGTTTGTTGGTGTCACACAAGGTTCTCTTACGTACAGATTTCTGGGTTAACAAAGTGTTTCAATTTGGAAATCAACATGTAACAAGATAACATCTATATCTTGTAATATAGACTAAAAAGGCAATCAGCTGTACACACATTTTCTCTCATTATCTACTGGTGATTCAGTGAAAATATACCAAATAATAACAGAAAAGAGTTTTAAAGCAATATGATCTGAAAATATTAAATAAAAAACTATTTATTGTACCAAGACTGATACTTTTTATCATCTTTTAATATTATGAGCATGCATGGTATATAGCCACATTTCGTGACACTTGTATGGATTTACTTCTGATGATGTTGGATTAAAATGCATAAGGTGGTGAGACAAGGGTCCAACCTCATGTTTATGATACAAATCCTATTCCCCACTTTGTGCATATGACACAACCCTGGAATGCACAGTGCTCTCCTCCTTCGTACTTTTACAACACTACCGTATTCGACATAATAAGCGCCCCGCTCTAATAAGCACTCACGGCGATATTTGCTAATATATTGGCAAGTGAACCATCCCAATTAGCACCCCTTCCGATTGATCAATATACACAAGACTAATTTATTCATGTATAATACGCACTCGTGTGTTATATGCACCCTTAATTATGGGCAATTAAATTCTGGAAAAATATATCTGTCGTATATAAACAGTCAGGCCGTCAGCATAAACTGCGAAATGTGTCTTTCAACTCTGTTTTTTCCACCAAAATAATATTCTAATAAGAGCCCCCTATTTCTAATTTTGAGAGCGCCCTGGGCGCTTATTACGTTGAATACGGTAAATATCATCAACTGGTTACTACTTGCATTCACAAGATTAAGGACAAATAACGTTTGTTTACGTACCTCCAGATAGTGACACCAGCTTATCTGCCCAAAACAACGCTGAATCATAGTGGTGCTGAAAAACAATATTTCCACAAGCATTATTAACATGATAACATCTGTGTGAGCAGCTCATTGATTAATCCATACACACCAACCAAAAATAAATAATATACTGACAGTGACTCTATGGAATGAATAAATAGAAAATGCATGAATCTTTTATTTTTAAAAGGGGTTGTAAACTACAGGTCAGAAATTCACTGATTAAAAGACTATTTAGTATTTGTTGTCCATGTGGTTAAGCATATTAAGGGGTCTTTTATAAAATATACCATTTAAGCAAAATCATGGCTTGGAGTGAGTTAGTTGAGTTTAATGTCGCTTTGAACGTGTTGAACAGTATTCTAGTCATATCATGTCATCCATGGCTAGGAAATAGGAAATATAACATTAATATGAAATTCAGCAATTTTTCCCTTGTTGCAAACAAATGATTAAAAAACATGTTACGAAACATGTGGAAACAAATATCATGAAATAGAAAATGATTATTGTCAGACCATGTTTATTTGCACTTTCTGCACTGGGTCTGACATGTTTGCTCTTCACCTTACTGCACTTCACTAAACAATCTTTCTTTTCTGATTCCAAGTTACACTGCATGGTGGATCTAAATCGTTGCCGGTTTAGCTGGACTACTTACTAATCAATGCTAATGGAACCATCGGCATTATTATAATAAATAAACAGTGATCATATACCTGGTGATCACCACAAGCATATTTACATTACAACGTATGCTGCATACCATATTCGACGTTATAAGCGCCCAGGGCTCTCTCAAAATTAGAAATAGGGGGCTCTTATTAGAATATAATTTTGGTGAAAGCGTTGAAAGATTGTAAATTTCTTGGTTTACGCTGACAGCCTGAAATGATACAAAAGTCTGTGCATATTATCAACGACAGATATATTTTTCCAGAACTGACTTGCCTGTAATTAATGGGGCATATAACACACGTGTGCGTATTATACACGAATAAATAAGTCTTGTGTACATGGATCAATCGGAAGGGTGCTATTTGGGATTGTTCACTAGCCAATATATCAGCAAATATCGGCGCGGGCGCTTATTACGTCAAATACGGTATATAGCCACTTTTCCCACAAAACTTGAAACTTCATAACAATTCCACTGATTCACTTCTGATTAATTTTGATTTAATTGTAAAATGTGGTGAAATAACCTAACTCAACTAAAACCTAACCTATGGATCGAAAAGGGGTACCTAACCTGGAGGATTGTAAAGGGATTTTTATCAGCAAGTGGTGATCAGGCCTAATGATTGTGCATGTGTGCTGAAAGGGGATCAAAGGGCTATTGGGAGTGTTAGGGTGACCTACCCTCACCTTAGGACCGAGAGCATGGAGAAGAAAAGTAAGGTCAGTGAAACTAGAGCCACAGAAGAGTTAATTAGCGCAAAGCTTGCTGTGCCCGTTGAAATGCAGTCTTGACTTGCTTTAGATCGAATTCTTCTATCGTAAAATACATATATGATATACTGCTTTGCAGATTGTATGATAACACTAAGAATCTGAGTAAAATATTATACCAGTGACAGGTTGTGACCGTGTGTCAACTGTTTCCCTCTCTGTCCAGCAACATTTATGATTATGATATTGGTGCGTGTCTGATTCAAGTGCTTGTTACCTTATCAATGTAACTCCTCACTCGTTCTCTCAACCTTACAAGGTTTATTTTGGTTTCGACAGATGCTTGTGGAGCACTTCCTTCGATTTCCCCCGCCATCTTTGAATGATGTACACGTTTGGCCAATGACAATGCATGTACTGTCCGTATTTCTAACAACTAATCTCATTGGATATTCGTAATGATGGATGGCCAATGCTTAACATGTTAACTGTTGCTCTTTGCACAATGGTTTTCTATTGGCCAATCTTTGGCATGGCAACAGTATAGTGTACAAAATGGCGACTTACATGGTGTAAATACTATACAACGCAAATTGGATTTTGTAACCGTCTGTAGACTTGATATTGAAAACCGCGATACAGTAAAGGTATGACACTTGATTTCACATAGCCCCACATATTATTTTGACATCTCTCTCTGTCTCATTGTGACCTGGAAAGAGAAATTCACGAAATTACTTTTCTGTGCCTCTCGTATGCCTGACCAGTTATGATGTCTGATATGCCATTGTCAGCCTCACTTAAGTTGTGGTTCTAAAGGCGCTCTGATAAAATAATATGTAATTTTCTGGAGTTTTTTGTTAATATTGTTTTTGGCAGACTTCAAAACATTGCCAAAATTCTTTCCTGACCCGAAATTGACATCATTATCATGTGAATGTTGTAACAGCTACATTCATGACAGATAACAGACTATGTATACAAGAAGTTCGAACATATTTAATTTTTATTGTACCACTGTGGGACTTAAGCCATCCAGTTTGTTGCTTGACATTCCTATTACAACGCATATAAGAAATAGTCTCTAAACAAATGATTAGTAGAATGAATATTTTCAACAACAACCAAGATTCCACCACCTAAATAAAGACTATGAGTATCCTCAAGATTTATGCACCTTTTTGTGATGGTTATGCTTGACATGATAATGTTGTAAACGTCAACTTAATGCACATACTTTGAAAAAAAGCTTTCATTACCATGATTACAGATGTCCGAGCCAGGCGATGAATATGCCGACCAGGCGAAGTCAATGGTGAACGAGGTTATACAGAATGCTCTCAGACGGTTAGAAACAGGTGACCTTGAGCGGGAGAAAACCAGCGACTCCCTGAAGTCTGAGCTGCTGCCTCCTTCAAGGGAGACCACATTAATTAGAGAGGAGGACTATGAAGTACAGAATATCAAATGGTTAACAATAGAAGAATTTTCTCCTGATGCTGCAGAAAAGAAGATCAATGAATTCATTGAGGTTTGTTCCATTTGCTAAACTCTTCAATAATGGTTATCAACATAACGAATGAACATGATGAAATGAAAACTTAATTTTATAATAGCAGATCTGTTGGTATACAGCAGGTTCTAACTTTCCAGCAATATCTTTTTATTACTACACAAAAAATGTCTAACAACTTGAAGATAAATGTTTTTTTATCCAATTAAGATGTGACTTATGTAATTTGTGTCAACAAAATGATCATTATGATATGATTTTTGTGTAGATGGGGTAAGCTTGTAGCTACAGCAACAGCTTGTCACCTTTGACACATTCCCCACATAGGTACAATGTGCATGATGTGTGAGCCCGTTCTTGACAGTGATTGAAGTGGACATATTCTGCATATGTACAGTGCACACTTTTGTTATTTATCGAGTCACATGACTCGATAAAAGATGTCTGACGGTTGAAATGCGTGTAACAAACGACGGATATAACTAACTAAAATTAGTGGTCCCTTTGAGTTTGTTATAACCGTAGTTTACTGTAAATGTATAATATAATCATGATAATAATAATGTCTTCGATCATGTTAAAGAGCTACGGCACAACAGATGATGAACACTTGCCTGAAATATTTATTTTTAAATTTTACAGAAAAAGGTATTAAATCTAACCATGCTAACATGTCTAACTCATTCACTGATATGAATTTAAATGTAATACTTTTAGGAGCATCATAATTTGAATTGTTGGAAAATTGTAGGCAAAGTCTAAGAACCCTTCATTTTATGGCATGATTATTTTTATCAACAGACCTGGGAGTACGAGAACAGTTGGCTCTACTGTGTTGATTTTATGGGCGAAGATGATCACGAGTTTGACAGGCGCTTCCAGTTCCGTGTTCGATGGAGTATTCCCACGAGGAGGAAACCCATTCCACGTGCAACAGCGTCGGTCTATTTCACGTTTATCGTCTCCAAGATTAAACCGAAGGTAACCATGCTAAAAACCGACCCTTGAAGATCCGGGGTAGAATAGGTCTTCAGCAACCCATGCTTGCCATAGAAGGCCACTATGCTTGTCATAAAAGGCGACTAACGGGACTCGCTGACTTGGTTGATGCATGTCATCGTATCCCAATGGCATGGATCGATGCTCATGATATCAATCACTGGATTGTCTGGTCCAGACTCAATTATTTACAGACCGCTGTCATATAGCAGGAATGTTGCTGAGTGAGGCGTTAAACAACAAACAAACAAAAACAAACATGCTAAAAACCACAAACGATGTCAAGGAGAAGCTGTTGCTAGAGGTGTAACGATATGGTGGTGTTGCGATACGATACATATCCTGATACTATATATTGGTGCGATATGATTTGTACATGTATCATGATACAGTATTTCTGTTACATAAGTTGATATTCTTTATTTTAGCAGGTGAATCAGAACCTGGAATTATTTGTTCTTAAATTTCAGGTATTGAAGATGGGATATTGTAGGGCAGAAATATATTGGCTAGATTGCACTGGGAATGACATACGATTTATAGCCAACCAGGATGTACTAGAGAATCTACATAAGCTGGTTGTTGAACAGTTTCTGTTATTCTTCACGTTTTTACACCTTGGAATGTAATTTATCATCCACAGGAGATATCGCTTGGATGAGATCAAGCAATATCTACACTGTAGATATCGCTGCAATGAAATTACATCACAAAGGTTTGCAGACCATTGTGACGTCACTGGTTACCATGACGTCACAATCAAATGACATCACTAATGGCTCTGCTACTGAAGCTGTTTGCAGTACTTTTTACACTGAAGACACTGCTAATTACTGTCTACAAATTGAAAAAGTTGAAAGAATGATGTTGGATGATAAATAAAATCTCACCCTCTTTGATAAAAGTGGCAAAAATCCTCGGCAAGCCTCAGAATTTTTCCACTTTTATCAACTCGTGTTGATATATTTGATATCAAAAGACACTCGGGTGAGATTCTCTATGTATCATATGTATCGCGATACAGGGGTTGTAGATTAATGTATTGTATCGTTGTCCACGTATCCTGTTCCCTACACCACTTGTGTTAGTTAATGTAATGCTGTTAACATGGGCTATGGTCTGACCAATTTATTTTCTTGTTTGTCGGGCAAACTTACCTGTAAAGTTCCAAAAGTTAAAGCGATAAGATTTGATGTTATTGATTGAAACATGCTTTTTAGATACCTTTTCGTGGTACATGTGTAAATGAAACATTGTTAACCTCACCTTATTCACTGATTCACTCACATGATCAGTGGTAAAAGGTCAATGGCCTGCTAATGGTCAAGCAAGATTGGACGAACCAGTATCTCATTCCTAGCTTTCAGCTGACCACATTATTCATTTCATTCATCACTGTCTGATTACTCGAATTCTCATATTTTCTCTCATCTTTCCAGAATTACCCCGTTGAAGTGTTGTATGTTTTCGAAACAAACAGACTTGTTCACAGGTAAGTGCTCAATAAAATATCATTCCTTCATTTCTGGAAAAAATACTAAATGGTTTTATTTATAGGCTATCGCATCATTGGAATTTTTGTTCCGTCATGTGATTGTCTGGTTTGTTTACAGGCTGTCGTTGTATGGTAGAAGTACTGCTTTGTGGCATCAGGCTACAAACAAACACTTACATTTTTCGCAAATTGTGTGAGTGACGGGTACAAACACCTGGGACTACTTGCACAAAGCGATCTTAGCGCTAAGATGATCGTAACTCCCATCCTTTAACATAGGCTTACAATAGTCATAGCCCTAAGATCGCTTTGTGCAACTGGGTCCAGGGCCCACTTGCACAAAGCGATCTTAGCGTTAAGACTATTGTAAGCCTATGCTAAAGTATGGGAGTTACGATCATCTTAGCGCTAAGATCGCTTTGTGCAAGTGGGCCCTGGTGTCATCACTGATTTTCAGTGATCCATTCATAGAATTTTCGGTGCTATTTTGCCTTTTACGCCCATTTTGACTTATTATATTCCATTTTAATTTTACAATGTTTTCTGTGATTTAGGTAGTGGGGAAAATAGAAAAGGAATATTTGAGATTTCTTAGCTATTCGTCAGAAATATGTCATTATGTTGCCATGTGTGCTTTGTATGCAAAGATGATACTGTCTTGTCAGAACATGAGTTTGCATTCTACACATTAATGCAAATTATTTCTTTCAGAGTTAAATTTGCCAATTTTCATGTTCTTATATTAAATTAAACAAAAGATTTCATCATTAACAGAAAATAAGTTTTATGAATTTATGACATGCAAGGTTATATATTTTAAACACGTGAAGACATGGATAGCTTAGATCTAGGGGGGGTAACTCTTACTTGCTTACAGCCATCTTGAGGTCAGGGGAACTCAGGAAGTACATGTTGGTATTATTCATACAGTTAACCTCTCTTGTACACGCTATTCTGATGGAGTTCAGTGTTGTGAAAACAATAATATTTAAGCCATTTTACAAGGGGTAGAATAGGTCTTCAGCAACCCATGCTTGCCGTTAAAGGTGACTATGCTTGTCGTAAAAGGCGACTAACAGGATCGGGTGGTCAGGCTCGCTGACTTGGTTGAAGCATGTCATCGATCCCAATTGCTTGGATCGATGCTCATGATATCAATCACTGGATTGTCTGGTCCAGACTCGATTATTTACAGACTGCTGTCATATAGCTGGAATATTGCTGAGTGCGGCGTTAAACAACAAACCAACCAACCAACAATGTTAAACACAGACCCAGTCAATAGACCCGTGAAGATCCGGGGTAGGATAGGTCTTCAGCAACCCATGCTTGCCACAAAAGGCGACTATGCTTGTCGTAAGAGGCGACTAATAGGATCTGGTGGTCAGGCTCGCTGACTTGGTTGATGCATGTCATCGATCCCAATGGCGTGGATCGATGCTCATGATGTCAATCACTGGATTGTCTGGTCCAGACTGGATTATTTACAGACCACTATCATATAGCTGGAATGTTGCTGAGTGCAGCGTTAAACAACAAACAAACAAACATAAAATATTTAAGATTTACATTTTGTATCAACTAATTTTGCTATGGTATCAGTGACCTATATAGCATGTAATGTCAACATAAAAAAATACAAAACAAATCATCTTGTGATGGTTGTCTCATCATGAAATGAAAAAGCCTGTACATTTTTCTTTATCGTTAATCAGAATCAGTTGCTATGACAACAAACACTGTCAGTTGGTACAGCCATGAGGGGTAGTATTGATTGAGTGTGGAGATTGCTATATCTGGCTACACTCAGTCTACACAGTTCATTATGGCCATTGTCTCATAGCCACAAACAGCTCTGTCAGCAATTTTATGTACATACGTTATATAGAATCAAGACGATTTACCGTAGAGTGTCATTGCTATATAAGTGCAATAATCTTGAATGAGACGTTAAAATCCATTTCACCTCAACTCACCTCACCCCAGCTCGTCCTTTTTGTTTTGGTTATATTTGGAATATTAACCACAGGTTATCCTTTTTCTTTAGGTCTTTGTTGTAAATTACTAAGAATTCCAACATTTTCCCATATAAAAAACTTGAGAGACGGATTCTATTTATGAAATAACAACCCAGAATGAAGGAATTTTAATACAATCCTATGACTCTACTGCAGGTTTCATAGACCCGTTGAATTTGTATTAATATGATTTTGTGGAATTTGGTTACCATATTCGCCGTAATAAGCGCCCCACGCTTATAAGCGCCCACGGCGATATTTGCTAATATATAAGCTAGTGAACAATCCCCATTAGCACCCCTTCCGATTGATCAATGTGCACAAGACTTATTTATTAGTGTATAATACACACTCGTGTGTTATATGCACCCTTAATGATGGGCAATTAAATTCTGGAAAAATATATATGTCGTGTATAATACGCATAGACTTTTCTTTTGTATTATTTCAGACTGTCAGCATAAACCACAAAATTTACAATATTTCAACTGTTTTTTTCCCACCAAAATGTTATTCTAATAAGAGCCTCCTATTTGTAATTTTGTGAGCGCCCTGGGCGTTTATTACATCGAATACGGTTATTGTTAGCATCTTTGACATGACCTTTGACATGACCTTTGACATGACCTTGACCTCCTGTTTACTCAGTAATAGTCTGCAGAGTATGTTTTTCAAAGTGATATTTGATGTATTAGAGAATTATAAGAAAAGTGGTTTGAGTAGTTTGTTGTTTATGATGATGATGATGATGATGATGATGATGATGATGATGACCATCCTTTGTGTATTTTCAGACCAGGGATGTCTCGGTTCCGAGAGAAGTGGCTGAAGGACATCATTGAAAGCAAGGTCATCATGATGTCAGCGGTCACATTTTGAGACAAGAGCTCAGTGATCTACGTACAGTCGTTATATACCGGAACACTTTAATGCAGTACAAACCTACTCCAAACAGTTTTATGGGATTCCGATGTTTGTAAACTGGAAGTCAGTATCTGCTCTTCATACCTCCTTTCAGCCAAGAAGAGTTCTGATAATGAGATTCATCTGTTACTGGTCAGGTGACAGGACGCATCTTGATGAACCTGATTGTTATTAGTTAACCTGTTGAGTGAAATGCATCTGCTACTTATAATAACTCCCCAACTAGTTAATATTTGTTCTTCGGGATCTCGTCACCCTGTTTTCTATAATGTTTTGTTGTTTTTGTGGCAAATTTGGGATTATGAACAATATTAACATGGACCAGCCTTTCTAAAAAAATGTCTAGCAAGGAAAGGTGCAGGGACACGATGAACCCACCTAATGTTCCTAAAAGAGAAAATGCACAGACAATAATATTTTATTGTTGAAATTCAATGAGTGTTTAAATTATGTGGGAAAATATCTCTTAGAGTAATAAATGCTAACAGATTTAACAAAGGGAAGAACATTAATAGATGTCAACTTCTTTATAATGAGGAACATGACGTTTCGGAGTATATTCTTACTCCTTTATCATTCACTTGATAAAGGAGTAAGTATATGCTCCAAAATGTTGTGTTCCTCATAATAAAGAAGTTGACATCTATACATTTTTTTCACTTGTTGTCAGAGGCGACTAACGAGATCGGGTGGTCAGGCTCACTGACTTGGTTGATACATGTCATCGATCCCAATTGCTTGGATCGATGTTCATGATATCAATCACTGGATTGTCTGGTCCAGATTTTATTATTTACAGACCGCTGTCATATAGCTGGAATATTGCTGAGTGCGGCGTTAAACAACAAACCATCCAACCTATACATTCTTTTCCTTATGTGTATCACTTCTAAATGCCGTTCAAAAACAAGATTAACAAAACATTGTCAACTTACTGTCACTGAAGGAAGAACCCGAGAACAAATAATTCATTACTTTGGCCTATCAGAGTTATTGTGTAAAGAAAACAAAATGTATTTTAGTGTTTAAGTATATACTTATGTGTTTTCTGGTACTTGCATCTAGTTGCCCTTCAAGACCTCGCAGGGGCTCGTGGGGCCCGCGATTCACTGTACAGAGTGGCGTCCCTTGGGCACGCCAGAAACCTTTGATTGTGGGTTAAAATCCTGGTTCGCCCCGATTATGTTTCTAGGTTAGTCAGTACCATACCCGTGCTCCTAGGTTTCACCGAAGTGGTGAACGTCAGAGACCTGCATCACTTCGGGCTTTCCTCCCACATTAAGCTGTCACGCCGTGATATAACTGGAATACTGTTAAAAGCGGCGTTTAACCCGACTCACTCACTCAAGACCTCACACTGTGATTATATTTAGAAGTCGTGTAAGTCAATATGTCTTTAGAAGTCCACTCTTATAAGTCAGTATGTCTTTAGAAGTCCACTCTTGTAAGTCAATATGTCTTTAGAAGTCTACTCTTGTAAGTCAATATGTCTTTAGAAGTCCACTCTTGTAAGTCAGTATGTCTTTAGAAGTCCACTCTTGTAAGTCAGTATGTCTTTAGAAGTCCACTCTTGTAAGTCAATATGTCTTTAGAAGTCCACTCTTATAAGTCAGTATGTCTTTAGAAGTCCACTCTTGTAAGTCAATATGTCTTTAGAAGTCCACTCTTGTAAGTCAGTATGTCTTTAGAAGTCCACTCTTGTAAGTCAGTATGTCTTTAGAAGTCCACTCTTGTAAGTCAGTATGTCTTTAGAAGTCCACTCTTGTAAGTCAGTATGTCTTTAGAAGTCCACTCTTGTAAGTCAATATGTCTTTAGAAGTCCACTCTTGTAAGTCAATATGTCTTTAGAAGTCCACTCTTGTAAGTCAATATGTCTTTAGAAGTCCACTCTTGTAAGTCAGTATGTCTTTAGAAGTCCACTCTTGTAAGTCAATATGTCTTTAGAAGTCCACTCTTATAAGTCAATATGTCTTTAGAAGTCCACTCTTATAAGTCAATATGTCTTTAGAAGTCCACTCTTGTAAGTCAATATGTCTTTAGAAGTCCACTCTTGTAAGTCAATATGTCTTTAGAAGTCCACTCTTGTAAGTCAATATGTCTTTAGAAGTCCACTCTTGTAAGTCAATATGTCTTTAGAAGTCCACTCTTGTAAGTCAGTATGTCTTTAGAAGTCCACTCTTGTAAGTCAATATGTCTTTAGAAGTCCACTCTTATAAGTCAATATGTCTTTAGAAGTCCACTCTTATAAGTCAGTATGTCTTTAGAAGTCCACTCTTGTAAGTCAGTATGTCTTTAGAAGTCGATATTCCTAACTGTAGTCTGTGATGCTGTCAGAATGATCTTCATTCCAGATTCATTATTCTTGTGATAATATATTTTGTTAAGATCGTTGTGTTTATTCCACAGATTATATTCCACTGTGTTCAGTGGTGATATAACCTTGCTGTGTCACCAATCTGTTGTTTCTCGTTATGCAAATCAGTATCTGTGATAAGTCATTCATGAATTGATTGTGTTTCTGCATGAATAAATTGTGTTAGGTATCGAGTGTAATCATGATACTTGGAGGTGTTGGTAGAGTAGTCTAAAGCAGATGGAAAGATATATATGTAACGCACCTGATCTTCCAATATACAACACGTGACATTATCGTTTATGTTATTTAAGATAATCATGTAGAAAAAAGTCAGATTAAATTACCGGTAATGAAGATTTGGTTGACTTGTGGATTTCAGCTTGTTTCATGATGAGGAGTATTACAACTTCTTTCATCATCACCACCATCATCATCATCATCACAGGCCTTTGAGTACATACTTATGGCATTGTGCAACTGTGTATAACTACTTTTTTATGATACATACACGTTTCAGGGCTACTTCCTGCCCCATCATCAACTTCTTTTTTCTGTAAGTGCCGTGACATATCCGTACATTTATCAAACAGATGGTACTGTTATAAAAGTATTAGCATCTGTACCTGTTGAAATCCACGAGTCAACTCCGTCTTGATTGCAGCGGCTGACTGCCACTTGAAGATGCCGATTAGCTGTGATGTACAGTGGAATATTTGACTTAACAGTTTATGAGTTGTAAATAACTTTGATAATTAGGTAGGGATATTTTAACTTTTTATCGTTTTTTAGTTCAGGAATTTGTGGCTTGTTTTCTGTTTTTTTCCTGAATGTGTTTTTTACCCACTCCAGTAGCTTTGTATAATTAACAGGCTGATGGGTTTGATCTCAATAATCATGTGGAAAATAATATCAAAATATGACTTTTTGACTTGTCATCATTTATTGTTGTATTTATTGATGGCTGATGGTGGAAGTAAATTATTCATGTCACGATTTATACCTCTAGGACTGTAAATATGTTACCAAAACCCTAATGCAAGTTTGCATGTACTTCAGTAAGTTTTGGACAGCAGTTGAACAGTAAGCTTTAATACTTCCAAATGTTCCTCATACTGCCTGGGGGGCACGGGTGGCCCAGTCGTCTAAGGCGCCGCGATTCGCTGTACAGAGTTGCGTCCCTTGGGCACGCCAGAAACCTATGATTGTGGGTTCGAATCCTGGTTCACCCCGATTATGTTTCTAGGTTTGTCAGCACTCAACCCGTGCCCATGGGTTTCACCGAAGTGGTGAATGTCTGAAACCTGCATCACTTGGGGCTTTCCTCCCACATTAAGCTGACACGCCGCGATATAACTGGAATACTGTTAAAAGTGGCGTTAAACTCAACTCACTCACTCATACTGGCTGCAGTGTCACGGATGAGAACTCAGGAACCGTCAGATATGTCTTTGATTACATCATGAAGTTAATTATATATATTCTTGTGACATTTTACCCATCATGTGTCAAACAATTGATTTAGATAATATACTACTCAAAAGAAGTTAAGGATCACCTGATTCTTTCATATTACTATAGTTAATCTCTCATGTCATGACAGATTAACTTTACCATTATGAAAGAATTGGGTGATCCTTCACTTCTTTTGAGCAGTATATGTTATCCTGCTGTGTTGTCTGTTGTTGCTGTGTAGTCCTGTGAGATATTGATGTTATTTTGTGAAAAAATGATTAACTTTATTGACATATATTACTCAAAAATTGTTAGGACTTTTACCATAGTAATATACAGCTCTTATAGTAATATGAGAGAATCGAGTGGTCCTTAACATTTTCTGAGTAGTATAATTTCAGTAAATCTGTTTTACATGATATCAGAAATAAGAGTAATATTTGAAATGTGCTACATGTGTCAATATACATAAACAGTTATTTCATTAATATATTGTGTTTGTTGTGATGTGTTGATGAAACTCCATGTTCTCCAGGAAACCATGTTAAAGGCTATACGGTTATTTGGCCTTCATGGACAAGCTGCTGTTAGTCTCAAGAAGGCCTTTCTGTTATCATGGTTGGAGGTTGTTGGAACTATTAAATTTCTTTCTTTTTTTATCGTGGTGTCACATGGTCCCCTGCACAGCGCACAGGTCACAACTCAGATGAAGTTAAGCAACGTTTGGTCCAGGGGTCCGGAAACGGTCATATGCGCCGGACATGTCCGATTGGGAATCTCAAATGTCCGATTTAAAATATTGCTCACTGGACATTTAAATTTTTCTGTCCAGACATTTTAAAAAACAAACAACACTACCTTCGGGGTCCAAATAATTGATGAGCGTTATCGTATCCCTTCAACGACTTCAGGTGAATAAACAGGCATAACAAACTTTGTCAATAAAAGTATGAAACTTGATATAAAACATCACTAGACATGATGATTTTACCCTTTAAAATGTATTTCCTGCTCTCAACGGCATTGTTTTATATGCAGAGATTAAGATTACCCTGTGTATTTTCTCGTAAACTAAGCCGGAAATAGCAATCAGGAAAAAAATGTATCTGAAATTATTATTTTATCAGGAATAATATATTCCAATATCGTGTTATTTTAGTTCCAGCTTCCACCATATATACTTAAAATAATAAGAACCATAAGCGTAGCACTTTGGTACAGATGGTATGTAGGATATTTTTTGACGTATGGAACGATTTTGACCAGTCACCGTAGGGACTTCCCGCGCTACTTGTATTTCGATTGCAAAAACTTTGGTCGTTAGGCGGCTTGGCTCCTGGGAGTTTATAGGGCTTCGGTCCTGCCCCACACTGAAGCACATGTATCATGTGTGGCGTCTCCTTGGGCAGGTGACTTTGTTTGAAGTACGCCTCTGTTCACTTAGCAGTAAATGGGTACCCGGTAGGATGTGACTTTTAACCTTCTTGTGCCTCAGAATGATAGTGCACATTGACCAGAGTAATATGATCTATCATGGCCTAACCATATTCGAGCAAGTATAAATGTGAAAGTGCACTATACAAGTTCATAATTTAATTTAATGTTGATAGATTTTATGTGATTTAAGAAAACAAATGTTTGTCCTCCGGTTTCACACACAAGAAGATAGAGTGAGTGAGTGAGTGAGTTTGGTTTAACGCCGCTTTTAACAGTATTCCAGTTATATCGCGGCGTGTCAGCTTAATGTGGGAGGAAAGCCCGAAGTGATGCAGGTCTCAGA